CCAATTGGCAATGACGGTGGCGGCACGAATGAAGCCAAGCAACGTCGCTTGGTGCGTCGGTCCAGTAGCACATCACCGCAGGCGGTGCCCCACGTGCCACATATGACAGTCGTAATAAAACAGCAAAGCCAATCGCTGGAAAACCTAACTCCTGAAAAGAGTGTTGCAGAGGAGCCCAAGAATATGCGATTTCCCGGAAGCAATGGTGAGAACTACAGTGTCACTCAAAACCAAGTGCGACACATACAGAAAAACGTACAGCCGCCACCACCCCCACCGCCGCCTCCACCATCTTCTACTGCACAACAAAAGCTACAGCAAAGAAAGCAAAAACAGCAGATAGCATCCGTGCGAACACGTGTGCAGAATCTGGAAACACACAGCACACGCAAGACGGCTGATGATCGCCGGTCGCTTAACTTGCAGTTTGGTCGCTCGGTATCACACGATACTGGCTCAATAGCTACGCGTGTGGATACGTTGCCTTGTTATGCCGGCGATGGCACATTACAGAGTGAACATAGTCCAGTATGGACATCATCCGCAAAACTAATCACTCAGACTTCTAATTTGAAAAATTTAATGACAGTCGACGGTGGTGGCGGTGAAGGGGTTTCCAACGAAAGTTTCGCCAGCGATACTAGCAGCGGACAAATGGAGACATCGTCTGAGCTTAAGGAAGAGCATCAATGCGCTAACTCAAGACGTCACAGTCGAAAAACTCATTCATGGACTGCCGCTAGCGGCACAAGCGACTTGAGTGGTACCAGCAGGAGTGGTGGTATAGTTTTAGATCGTCTCAATGTGCTGGGCGTGGGTACAAGTGCCAGCAGTAGCGGTACCAGCAAATTGAGCTCAAATAGCAGTATTGATTCGATCTCATCGAGTGCCGGATGTTCGACGACAACCGCATTTGAGGAGCGTGTGGTCACACGAACACACCGGCACCGGGATTTGCCCTCACGACATGCTTCATGGGGTTCGGGAGACACGCGCTGTGCTGCCCCAGTACGAAATAGTTCCTGGGCAGCGTACGACTCCAATCGCAATTCGTGCCAGTACGGCGGCGGAGCCATACTCGAAGGTCAAATACACGAACTCAACATCAATAAGAGCAACAAGACTGTCACACCAATCTGTCAGGGCGTTTCTGGGTCGCCACATTACCAGCAGCACCAGCATGTGGGCACGGTAAAGCGCACTAAACAGAAGTTGGAGCAGGTCGGTAGCGTTAATAGCAGCAATACATTGAAGACATCGTGCCCGGAAAATAGCGTGGCCGACGAAGTGCCAATCACTGGCAACGCAAAGCGCAGCGTCAAAGGTGCAACAAATCTCTTTCGAAGTGCTTCAGCTGCTGGCTCAACGCGCATCCGCTGTTCTCCTTACCGCTGCAATAGTGTGGAAATTGTTCCCGGTGCAACCGCCACTACATTAGACGGCAACAACGCCGACCACGACATATTGACGTGTCATATGGTTATGCGCCGTAGCGATGGCAGTCGTCCGTTGCACAATGAATTATTTTCCGCTTCCTCAGCTCCAGAATCATATACAGTTTCAGACATTGAGAACAAGAATATGGTACCTTCAGAACCAGAGACAGCCGAAAATATAGATGGTGGCTCCGTTATAGGTGAGGAGGGTTCAGTGCTGTTGCGTGGTAGCGTCGGCGGCGCTACTACCATCACGGATCAACGGATCTCCGGCACTGTGCAAATACTCAAAAAGAATTTTGAGGCCAAAGCAGGCAGTAGCGCAAATGCAGCAACAGGCAGTAGTGGAAATGTTTTGCAAATTCAAGCTGCCGCCACGCCTGCGAAGAAAGGTCATCATTCACTGCCTTCTTCCCCAGTTGCGCAACATATAGATCCACATCATCACCACCAACACAATCTGCAAAGCGCTTCTTTGGCGTCACCTATTTCAGACACAACCTCTGCAACACAAAGTTTAGCAGCATCCTCTGGTTACCACGATGAGATCCCTGCTGAAATAATTGACACAATTGCACATGCAGCCACTACTACTACAACTACGACCCATACAATGCAGACCATATCTACTACCGCCTCTGTTTCATCGACAACGGCTTCATCTGCATCATCGTCTTCGTCGTCATCCACTTCGTCTTCATCGAGTATGTGCGAGCCATATGTTGACCGTAACGTGAAGGTTCTGGTGTATAAATATCAAATGCCAATATCGGTATCGTCTGTAACCAAAAATGACAGTGTCGTTGGCGCCATACCCATATCTTCATCATATACCACGGCGCCATCCGCTTCGGCATCCTCTTCATCTCCAGTACCAACAACAGTTGCAACGGTTGCTCTAGCTACAAGCCACTGTAAACCCAGGCGCCATTCGTACTATGAAAGTGGTGGTCGTGCGTTGCACAAAAGCACGCTGATAGGTGGTGGCAGAAGCTCTGCCACTAGTGTTCGGTTATCTCACGAATATAGTGATAGTAGGCCGCCCCCTGCTCCAGCTAAATCCACAATGATATCGCATGGCAACGCTGCCCAAACGTCAATGGCAGACAATGCGCAAAACCAACAACAGCAGCATCAACAGCGTCGTTTGCAACAACACGGTCGCACGCATCCACTCAGTAGGCTAACGTTACCAAAACAGAGCTTCAATGCAGCCGCTTACAATACTATGTAGATTATATCAGCGACAACGCACCGTCCCTTTACCCCATTCTGTGTTAGGTGTATAGTATTCATACACTTGTATAATGTTCTAAACGCGCTTTGCACCCTTACAGCCCGAACAGCGAACAACTCATACACACACACACAAGCGTTCTTAACACATTCAAAATATGGTTGGAAATAGAAATGAGAAATTCGTGCATGAAATCTTAACACAGCTTATTTGCCTCGAAAAAAACTCATAGGTACTTATTTCGGTATAAGTCTAGAATAAAAGCTATTTAGCTGCTAAAGAAAACTAAAGTAAAAAGCCCTATCGAGCCGTTTTTAGTTTTTTTTTTTGTCATAACTAAACTGTTGGTATTCTAGACTTGGTCTCATTTTTCTATGACCAATGTACTCCAGCTTTAATCCCCGCGCTGTTGTTTCTGTGCATTTCAAAACTACTGCGACTAAAAGTATTTATCAAAAAGCTTTAATTTGGCTGCCTGCATTTCTTGACAATTTACATTTATTTCCTTTTCTGTTATAATCCACTGCCAGCTCGAAAACAAAAATTATATGGTCAAGTGCTGAATATGCTCATCTGTTCAAGTGCTTTTTATTACTCATAGGTTAGGGAAAATTAAATTATGCCATAGTTTTTGTATGTACATATGTGTAACTTCCTTTTCTACATTGGTAAATTAATTTGCTTCAACCTTGAGTTTGACTAACGCCCAATTAATTAATTGTAACCACTGTATTTACAGGATACTTTCTGTGCGTGTGTGTGTGTGTGGGTGAATATCGCATCCACTCCTTTATGCAAGGTAGTATTGTTTCTTTTTTTTATGCCAAGCCCATACCACCATTACCGGTAATAACATTTACATTTCTTAAAATGATCGCTTGAGTCGCAATGCTGCTATTGATGTTCACTTTTTTTTTTATAAACTGTTCACATTTCCTCATCGTCATCTACCGCCGAAAACTCCACAAGTAGCATCTTACAACACATCTTCATTATACCCTTCATAAGTCTATTTCCTCTTTATTATTACTACACGCTGATTTTAATTAAATCTTAATTATTTATAAACTTAATTAATGATCGCATTAGAAGTTGTAAGAAGCAGTTTATATGTGTGTATGTACTACTACGTAGCGCTTTTTACCATTACCATTGCCGTACTGTATTTGTATATTAATTATAAGCATTTTCGACAAGAACGACACAACTCAATAATAAATACCAACATTATCTACACTTAAACTTACACGAAAACACACGCAGCAAGCAGACATCCACAGCATGGCAATAGTCCCTTGAAAACGAACGAAAAACCCCATTGCAAAAATATCTAAAAAATTTAAACACAACACTTTAACTCTACAGTATAAAGCATATAACATATTGAAAATCGGCGAGAAAAAATCAACAAATCATAATATTAACTAATTAGCCAGCAACAAAAAAAGCAAATATTTTGTAAATATTGTAAGATTTTTTCTATTTTTATGTTTGTATGAAAAATGGTTTTTAAAATACCTATTAAAGCTCATATTGAATACGAAATACATATTTTTAAATGTGCGACTTGCATACAGAACCTGTGGAGCATTTAAAAATAAGTAAATGGGGTTAAAGTTTATAGTGAGTTGAGATCTAAGATCAATTATCAATTTAAATTATGCAGAAAATTTGGGGTAATATCTCAGACAGTGTCTGCCCTAACGGCATTCACAGGCAGTCGGTCTCGACTTACATCGACTCCCTACCGATCTGTGAATGTCGTTTTGGGTACGCAACCATCTGCCTCGGGAAATTCTCACCACAATAGTCCAACTTCGCTCAGGCTACTGCAGCAGGCTAAACTCGTGTATCTAAGCAGAGTATCCAATGAGTGCCGGCATCCGGAGAGTCGCCACTTGACCCACGGCACCTCTTCGCATGCCCCTAAAACCCCTCCCAGCTAACGCCCGGTCTCTATGGACAGACCCAGTGGACGTTGCACACTTCGTGGGCCTCCGTTTAGCTGAGCCTGACGACAGCGTTGGTTGACAAGCCGATGCGAGCGGGGTTGAGTAACCCAACGACGACAGCCGGTTCTAGGTACCAGAATGACTCGGGTTTTACCTGATCGGCGATCTAACCCGGTTTAGGTTGCCGACAATTCTTAAACGTTGGTCGTACATGGTTTAACATATGCTTCAAATTCTTCTGCTCATGGCTGTCATCGTGTCAAACCTTGGCCTACCTACACCTACTGCGTATGCAAGACGATTACATCCGAACACCACCTCAGTCAGGTGCAAGCCCTGCAACGGGTGGAGTGACCTCCGAACGTGCTCAGGTCTACGAACTGGTCCGCAATGGACCACGTCATTCGTGGCCCCCATGCTGCACAAAACGAACCGCCTCCACGACACACCTGAGTTCACCTGAGCAACCTAACACAAACGCGACCATCCCCGACTTAATAGAGCCATAGATAGCCACACCACAAGCACAACCACATCCCACTTACACGCCGCTGCAAACAACTCATAGTTCATCCGGTGTGTCAGTTCAGGATATACCGTAACGTGACATCCGTCAAAAGCAATTCCTGCCTTGGCTGGTGCCACTCTAGGTAGGGTATGTTCAGGACTGCGCACCACGCGAGATTGGACGAGCAACTACGTGGGCCCTTGTACTGCCTTATGCGACGCCGCCCACTACCACCACAAGGCAGCATCGTACACACCAAACACAACATATGGATCGAGGCAACACCACAAGTCTCTTACACTCCACATTGCAGTCAGTCTCCCAAAGCAGATTGCGGAGGTAACCGTCTGCATGGGTCGCCATGAAATTATGGAATATTTATAGCTGTGGTCCCAGAGACGAAGCTGCACAGCTACCAACACTGTTTTTCATGGCAGAAATACACTCAGAGGTTTGCAATTGCCTGCCGAGGGACGACCGCTGTTAAGAAAAAACCTTTTTTTTTATTTTTGCGATGTTGCTTTGACCAGGATTTGAACCCTGGTGCTGCGGAGTGGATGCGCGCACTGCTTACCACTACACCACAGCGGCCGACTACGCTGTTGAATTGCCCCGGATAAAATGTGCACCAAGCGGATCGCTCATCACGCACCACCGTGCGGTATCGTTTTATCAGAAGCAGACATCGGCCGCAGGGATACCATCCTAGAATGCCAGGAATTGCTATACAGTCAGGCGATGTTGAGCTCGAAATATGTGTGCACCTCAGTGGTGGAAACCGTATGGTAGTCGGTGACTTCAAAGCGCACCACGTTCAAGCCTGTGCGCCTCTTTCTTCCACCAGTGGTGAGGTTCAGGTAGCCATGGGAGCGAAAATCTCCAAAACCATAGGACTCGACGAAATATGCAGGCTAGTGCTGAAAAAAATATGACCTGCGCGAGTAGATTATCTCACCAAGGCCCTCAACCTGCACTATCATCATTTCGGACATCTGGAATAAAGGGAGAGTAGTCCAATTTCATCAAACTTATCGTCCGATAACATCCCTTTCCCCGGTAGCGGCCTCGCTACTCCCGCGCTATAGAAACCACCTGACTCCAGCGACACATCAGTATGGGTTCCGTAAAGTACATAGCACAACACTTAACGCCATAAAAACTTAAATAGATCGTGGTCTGAACCGAAACCGCCTCTATGGAAGTAATGTCCTGGTAGCGTTGGAGGCTACCTCTCTCCCACAGGGACTCAAACGGTGGTCAACTAAATATCTGAGTGATAGAAAAAATCTACAAAATTCTCGGCAACCCCTTTTACTATCTGGACCAATTCCGGCAGTGAATAACTCAAAAATTCTCGGAGAGACAAGGCGATTCGCCGACCGGGTCTAAATTATGCAGCTCTCGAGTGGTCGCAGGGGATGAGTAGTGCGGAATCACAAATCTGCCAAAACACGGCACTCCGTACAGCCACCGGGTGACTTCTGGTGTAGCCACAACACCATATTTATGACGAGGCTCAAATACTCACGTTCGGGGAGCATAACACAATGCTCTGTAAGCAGTTCCTTATATTGTGGCACCTGAACAGACACCTGCTTGCAGCAAAGCCCTCGCCAGGGCATGTCAGAAGGCATCTCTACGATTTGACAGGTTCATAAAACAACCTCTTGACCAGACAGTATACCGACATGCCATAAACGACGATAGGGAGTCGGTCTCAACTTACACCGACGTTCGACCTGTGAATGTCGTTTTGAGAACACCACCACCTGACGTGGACGAGACAGAGCTTCGTCTGCTCCGGGAGACTCGCACCATCTGACCCCAACTTCGCTCAGGCTGCAGAAATGGGCTAAATTCATACCTGTGCAGAATAAATGCAAAATGCAGTGAGAGCCCGGCAAGCGGAGAGTTAACCCGCGCCTCGAGACATCTCTTCCCATGCCGCCAAAACCCTACTCAACTAGCACCCCTGTCCCTATGGACCAGCCCAATTTTTAATGCTAATTCCACTTTCTTCGCTTAATTAATTATTGAAATCCCTGACGTCGGATGCTGTCTCGCATGTCTGCGAGTCCCACTGCTTCAGTTGGGAACTCAGATCGCACCTTAGGAGCTCTCCCTGCAGAAATGAAGCGGTCGGTTGCTGCGTTGATGAAGTTGCTAATATGCCCCTAAACTTAACATGGCAAGTTCGCGACTCGCATTTGCCGTAAACCCGTCCCAATTGGCTTTCCGTGCGTTGATGAATGTATGGTTTTCGTAGGAGGGCAGGTGGTCTAAAACAATCGTGAGCACTATTTGCCAGCCGATGCAATTTATCATACCTTCGCAGGCTTTGATGATGTTTGGCGATCAAATGCAAATACTAATGAACCTAGTAGGGGCATCGTCATCTGCTGTGCAAAACGTCCAGTAATCGATCTGCTCAGAGGGCAGTATACCCCGTTGGTCTCAATCCAGGATGAAGTTCCAAACTCGTGGAGGACGTTCAAATTTCAAATAACTACCCCGGTCGCGCCCTCTATTAGGTAGGTACTCATGTTGGAGCGACATCCTAATAGGCGGCTGGTACCAGTTCCCCGGATGTTGATGATCCCAATTTTATTATCCCCTGACTTGATCGAAGTTAAATAACCGACAATGCGCGGAGTTATGCAGGATGAAGGTGGTGGCACTGCAATCATGCATCGCTTTAGAAAGAAACCAAAAAACCAATTTCATTCAATCCAATTTGCATTGACGCTTTGCATTGATGGAACTTGAAACTGAACCTATGCCCAAGCCAGCGCATTCGTATATTTACGCTTTTAGTTTTTTATTTTTTCTAGATAAATCTTAGAATAGTTTTGTCGAAAGCCCCCAAAACCTTCTCATGTTTGTTTGACACCTTCCACGTTTCTGCTCCAGAAGAAAGAACTGGAAGATTGAAAATGCTGATAAGCCGCACGGGAGTGAATCGCCTTGTCGAAAACCACGTTTTTTCCTCAAACAGCACGGAAGGTCCTTCCTAATTTGGATGGAACTGAATGTTGTACTCAACATCATGAAGGGATTATATTGATATAATATTGTATTCATCCTAGTTCTGAAGGTTAACTAACTGCATGACCATGTTCTGGATATTTTGTTCCACGCCGGTGCGGGCCAGAAGAGTTCGGACCAGACTTTCCGGGATTTCTATGATGGAAAAATCGGGTGGATTTCTGTTAAGGTTATGGCCCTTGGCCAAAGATAGTTTGCTTCGTGTCATTCCGGTATCGTAGTTCTGACTATCTTAAACATTTTTTGTTTTAAAAAAGTGGTCAAGGCCAGTCAAAGCCCTTCTACGTTGCAGAACTCATATTTACATAATAAGGTGGAAATAAATAAGGGTGACAGCCGACTCATGTCGAAATATTTAAAGGAAGTAGTCGACTGCCTGATCAATAACACGGAGGTCAAAGAAAATATTGGAGAAGTGATAATATATAACACCAACTACGTAGACAGCTTTGAAATTGCGGAAAACTAAAATAATTTTTTCGTGGACAGCAACGAGCTTCCACAAGTACGCTAAAATTTGAAGAGGTCTCAACGGAAGATATTCTTTAAATTGCCAAAATATTTAAGCCGAAATTTCCCCCAACAACCTTCTACCTGAAGGTGTTATTAAGGACTCTGCTGATTATATGGGATATTTCTATGCCCTACTAATAAATAAGAGTCTCCAAACAGGATCAATACCGGAAGAATGGAAAATTTCATCAATAGTGCCCGTTAAGAATGTTGGAAAAACGGTTAAATCTGAGGAGCTTAGGCCCATTAATACTCTCCCTAGCTTGGAGAAAATGCTAGAAACCGTTGTGAAAAACTAACTACAGTGCTATGTGGAATCCAATAAAATACTCATAAAAGAACAATCTGGATTCAGAGCTAAACACTGCGCTGAATCTTGTGCTTTCTCAATGGAAGAAGCAACAAGTTTTTTACCACGCTATGAAGTTTGTGTACAATATTAAGAAGGGCAACCTGCCGGATTATCTTAGCGATAATCTCCGATATATAAATGAGACGCATACATATTTGTTGAGAGAGAACAACAGCTTCAGACTCCCGAAGTATAGAACGGAAGTGGACAAAACAAATATTTTTTATAAAGGCTTAAAGTGCTTCAATGAATTACCAGAGGCTATAAAAAATTGTGATACTATCACTCTTCAAGCGGCTGCTATATAACTATTGTAGAACGCAGCCTACAAGATAGTGATATATCAACATTAGCGTGGATTGGAAACTAGGTCTTTCCAACCACCAAGATATCGAGGCTAGGTGGATCGGAAATTCGGCCTTTCCGACTACCTAGAGTACATTAAAACCCTTAGATAATAAACAATAAATGAGTGGATTGGAAACTAGGCCTTTCCAACCGTCACGAAAGCGCGACTGGTTGGATCGGAAACTCGGCCTTTTCGACCACCGAAGACATATCAAGATACGGAGTAGCCCAAAAAGTATAGCGCGGATTGGAGACTCGGCCTTTCCAACCGTCTACATAACTTCCGGAAAATGGCATGCTTTTATATTGACATTAAAATAATTGCAGTGCAGTAGAGCATATTGTATTTAATATTTTGTTTTTAAATTTTAAGTCCAAATCTAATTATAGGAATGTTAAAGCTTCTTTGTAATGAAGTCTAACAGACTGTAAAAAATAAATAAATAAAATAAAAATTATTTGACAATATACTAATTTTTTACAAGTTTGTGGACCGTGATGGTAAATAATAGTTTCACCTTTTACTTGTCTAGAATATTTTTTTTAACGGTAAACTTAAAAAAAAAATCAAATCGTATTGTTCTATGCTAAAATATTACCCCTAAACAGAATGTTGGCAACACAGGTGTATCATATTTATTGGCATCACTGACCCCCACCAAATCGACGTCACTTTGTGTCAAATTCTCATTTTTTTTCTATGCCTGGTGAGATTTTTCAATTTTCGCATTGAAAAATTGAAATTTCGTGCATTTTAGCAGCATATAAACGTGAATCGTGAAGTTCTAATGCAATAAAAGAATAATCAGAGTATCGACGACAACGGGGTAAATTGAAGTGCATCTGTAAAACAGTGAAAAAGTTCATTAGTACGTGGCGTTAAATGCTGTGCTAATTTCTTGTTCCTATCTTTCCACTTTTCTTGATTTTCATATATATTATTGTGTGTACAATTGATTGTGTGACGAACTTTACACATTGATTTGTTTTGGGTGCTGGCGGTGGTGGCGGCTACGGTATTTGTCAATTAATAATTTGCGGTGCGCAAACCAAAAAAAAAGTTTTGCAAGGTCCGGTCGGATCTTTGGAAAAGACAAGGGAGACGGAAACTACCCCCTCAGCAATGTCGGATATGGTTCTGAATAAACCTACTCCGGAACGGAGTTCGACTGGCAGTAAAGATCCCGAAATGAAGGGTTGGCTCATGAAGTGGACCAACTATATTAAAGGCTACCAACGGCGTTGGTTTGTTCTATCTCGTGGAGTTTTGAGCTACTATCGAAATCAAGCAGAAATGAACCACACATGCCGCGGAACTATATCGCTTCATGGTGCTCTCATACACACAGTAGATTCGTGCACATTTGTTATCTCAAATGGAGGTACCCAAACCTTTCACATAAAAGCTGCCAATGAGGTAGAACGACAGTCTTGGGTGACAGCACTGGAGTTGGCCAAGGCGAAAGCCATTCGAACTATGGAAACGGAAGAAGAGGAGGAAGTTCAGACGGCACATGTTGTACCCAGTCAAGAAATCCACACAGTAATTGCCGACCTAAGTGGTCGTTTGGAGAGCTTGCGCACCTGTTACGATTTAATCACTAAACATGGTGTAGCATTACAGAGAGCGCTCACTGAGTTAGAATCGAATGATGAAGAGTCTCTTGCCAGTCGCACAAAGATAGTTAATGAGCGCGCTACACTTTTCCGTATTACATGCAATGCGATGATTAATGCATGTAATGATTACCTGCGCAGCGCTGAGTCGCAAGGCTATAAATGGTCAAAAATGGTTGAGCACGAGAGAGAGCAACGACAACGTTTGGAAGAAATGGTAGAGATGTTAGCCAAGCAACAAACTCGCCTTGAGCAAGCCGCACACACAGCCGCGCACCAAAACAAATCATTGGCAATAGCAAACGAAAGTACTGCCTCGCTGAATGCAGTTACATCTGACGACGAAAACGAATTTTTCGACGCGGAAGAGAACAACGGAGTGTTTGGAGAAAACTTGCCGAAGGAAGCTTCCGAATTTGTAATGACATTGCCCTCGAATACAGGCAACCACAAAGGCGTCGATGTCGAGGACGGATCTTTTGTTATGAAACTCCAAAAGACTCGCTCTAATTCCGAAGAGCAAGCACATCATAGTAGCTCATCGGAAAATGAAGAGCAAAAGCAAAACGAATCCGAACCTCAGCAAGTGGTTGTAATTAGCAAAAAAAGTAACACATCCTCCGAACAAAGCAGTTCAAATCACAAATATGGAAATCCGAAAACCCAAAAGAGCCTACAACTTTCGAAAACTACTAGACAACGACGTACTCGCGTGCCAGATAAACCAAATTATCCGCTAAATTTGTGGTCAATAATGAAAAATTGCATCGGCAAGGAGCTGTCTAAAATACCGATGCCAGTTAATTTCAATGAACCACTCTCAATGTTGCAAAGGCTTACGGAAGATTACGAGTATGCAGATTTGTTGGATGCAGCTGCACGTTGCACTGACGAATGTGAACAATTGGCGTACGTGGCAGCCTTCACCATAACTAGCTACGCAACAACAGCAAATCGCACTGGTAAACCTTTCAATCCGCTTTTGGGTGAAACCTACGAATGCGATCGTATGGATGATCTTGGATGGCGTGTAGTGGCTGAACAAGTATCACATCATCCTCCAATGGCTGCGTTACACTGCGAGGGCCGCGAGTGGGCCTGCTGGCAGGAGTTCACCATGACAAGCAAGTTTCGCGGCAAATATTTGCAGGTGAGTTATATAACATTTATTATAGAAGCTTTAGTATATCTAAACAATTTTGAGTGGCATATCCAGTAAAAACTTCATTTGACCATAGCCAGAAGCTTTAGTATATCTAAACAATTTTGAGTGGCATATCCAGTAAAAACTTCATTTGACCATACCCGTATGCAAACATTCATATACACATGCATATACATACATATACATATGTACATTTGAATATAAATATATTTACTATATACATAGTTTACTATATACGTAGTTTGCAAAATAGCCTCAATTAAATATCGTTGTCGTTCTAACACGCAATAGACCGATTGTTTCGACTGTTCATTATATTTGTTGACTTAGCCGCGCGCATGTTCTCGTAGGCATACCTGCAAACGATTGATAGCATCCATGTAGGAAAGACCACTGATACTCGATTAGTGACCCTTTAGTGGGATACGAAGTATGCCTACTTCATAACGGGGATTTTATTTGAAACGTTCCTAATTTTCCAAATAAATACGCTGACCAAGGAGTCAGACTGTTTGGGAAAATCAACAATATAATTTTGGCTCCTAGAGTTTTTATTACTTCTGTCAACAGGACAATTTTTGAAAAAAAAAAATTAAAAAAAAGTGGTGAGGGCTTAAATACAATTATGTACAAATCGCTAATTTGCTGCAATAGTGTCATAATCCAACAAATCAAAAACTCGAGAAAAACGGATTTAAAGTTTACACTAGTCAAGTATCCACTAGTCAAAATGATGACAAGTTTTCTCCTAATGACCTATGGTTAATCGATACTTACAGCTATGAAATTTTTACGCAACATAGAATGTAATTTCTGCATACTTAACTAATAAATTGGGATTATGACACTCTTGCAACAAATGAGCGATACGCACATACATATGTACGTATGTACATTAATGTGCGCCTTATTTGTATGTAAAAAATTTGTTTGTAAGCTTCAACGCAAGACCCACCCAGATGTTTGTTTGGTTAAAAAAACGGCTCTGGGAAAAAATTTTAAAATGGGACTACGGAAAGAGGTGTCTAAAGAGCCCAGTTTTTTACGGACGTTGCCATAAGGAAACTATCCGCCAAGTAGCCCGTGCGAACCCTTGTCCGGACCCACTCGGGCATTACATCGGAGTAGAATTAAAAGAACTTATTTGTAACTAATCAGTCAATGGAGTTTTGCACGCTATATATCTCGTCAGTCTTGAAAATTGAGTTTCGCCCAAAAACAAAATCACCCGAAAATTTGTCTTCCGCCCATAGTAAATACATGGAAAGTAAAAGTTAAAAGTGAACAGATTCGGGGAAAATGAAACTCATGATGAGGCTGATTATCTTTCATAATGAAAATATATACCAAAATTAACAGGACGAGAAGCGAAGTTGTTTTCATCTGTCTACACAAAGTACCGTGCCCCTCAATTTTAAAGATATCCAAATAAAATTTTGGAGCGCTCGCGCTTTTTTAAATGTTCATTTGATTGTTCAGATATGAGATAGGTATAAGTTAAATTTTTTACACTTAGTCTGTTCCTTTGAACTTCGGACTAAAACCTGTGGAACTGTCAAACTACAATTTTACGCTCTCAAATGAGAGTAAAATGAGAACAGATGCAGAAGTGCATAGGAACGCAAAAAGCACTATTTCCTGTAAAAACGTCAGACGGTTTGTTTACATGTCATTGGCACTACACTGATTTGGCTGAAATATCACTAAATAATTAATAAAATCTATACATATTTAAATATTTCGTTGTTTACTTCCATTTTATAACAAATATAAGGTTCTTTGCTTTCACCGCTTTCTGTTTTTGTTTGCACATGTAAATCAGCTGATCGTTTGACACTTTTCATGAACTTACAGGAAAAAAATCTCCGGACTAAATCCTGTAACTTCTGACTAGGAACAGTTGCTCAGTTACTCTCTCAAATGTGTTCCCACTTACAGGTTTTATGTCAATAGGAACGACTTCCTGTAAGTTCTGACTAAATCCTGTAAACCGGACTGCTATTGGAACAGACTAACTATGAACTTAGAACGATTAAAAAGATTAATTTGTGTGTTAATTTCATTTCTTATTAAACGAGTCCGATTTCGCCCATTTTCAGTACCTACGAGGTGCTAAGTCTCGCTGAGATATATTAATCTAATGAGATATCGCGGGCACAGACGAACGTGCAGACTTGCATTGATCGATATCTCGACCCATTCGGAACATTTTTGTGTATGTTGTATGTATGTATGCATACGCACTTGTCTACATCAATAATTTTGTTCAAAAGCTGTCGGTGAAAACTAGTCCTAAAATGATATATTTCCGAGATAAATTAGATTTGACCCAATTCACTGTAGGGTAAAACCAAAGCCATTAGTGAGTGTAACGTGAGTACACACATGCACGCGCGTGTTTGACCTTTATAGCTTTAATTAATTATTAATAAAAGTACATCAAAGTAAACTGATTTTTTCCATTTTTTTTGCAATTTTCAGGTTATTCCTCTTGGTAGTGCATTCGTGAATTTCCCCGCAACTGGCCACAAATATACATGGCGTAAAGTGACAACGACTGTGAATAATATTATCGTCGGGAAATTGTGGGTCGATCAACATGGCGATATGGAGATCAGGGGAATTAATGCAGCATCAGGCCTTGTATGCCATCTAAAATATATTCCCTATTCGTATTTCTCACGCGAACAACAGCGCCGCGTTAAGGGCGTAATCATGAATCGAAATAAAGAAGTTAAATGGGTGCTGCGTGGCACTTGGGATTCTTCCATTGAAATTGCGCCCGTTCTTTCCACTTCTGGCACCGTTGATAGTCCAGTTTACCAAACCAATGGCTACAAAACAGTGTGGACGCGCCGAGAGTCGCCACCAGATAATGAAAAGTTCTATAACTTTACTACATTGGCAGCCCAATTGAATGAACCAGAAGAGGGCGTTGCTCCAACCGACTCCCGTTTACGGCCCGATCAGCGTTTGATGGAAGAAGGTCGATGGGACGAGAGTAATCGTGAGAAATTGCGTCTAGAGGAGAAACAACGCAGAAAGCGGCGAGAACGCGAAGCGGAAGCTGAGGCCGCAGCGAATGAGGGGCGGCCATATCCCCCATATGAACCGATTTGGTTTAGACGCGAAAAGGAAGAGGGAAGCGATAATTTGGTGCATGTTTTCAACGAAAGCTATTGGCAGCACAAGCGTGACCAAGACTGGTCTATGTGTCCTGATATATTCTAAATGCAATTAACATTTTTAAGAAAGGCAAAACAGCAAAAACCCTTACCGCATATTTGAAAAGCTGATGATTAATTGCGAAAGTTAAAGTTAAAATTAATTATTAAAACAAAAGTAAAGAAAGCAAAATAAAAGTTTTTCAAGTAAATACAAAGTCCAAATAAAGAAATACGAAAAATTACTCACACGAATACTTTTACATGCAGAAAAAAAAGAGCAGAGAATGCAAAATTACACCATGAAAATAATCATAAAGAAATTGAAGTTGATGCCCTTTTACATGAAAAGAATTGTGCTGTATAAGTAAATTATTAAAAATATTAATTTTAAAGGAAAAATACTATTAAATTTCTTAAAGGACTTTAAGCATTTTTGTATGAGTTATTATTAGCAATGCGCTTAGAAATACATATTGGCAAAAGAGTACACAAAAATCTAAAGCAAAACAAGGGTAGTTCATACATATGTGTATGCAAAGCAAAAGCGGAAAATAAAAGAATTCCGTACAATAAACAATAATCTTGCTCTTTGTTAGTTTTAGCAAATATCTACGAATAGCTGCTGGTATTTTGCGATATATCGACGATAGTGAACGATATGCCGTCATAAATGCCGAGTCCAATTATACATACATATGTACATATGATTATTATATGTATGTACACTTATATAAATGGGCAGCAAAATAATTATAATGAGTATGTATGTAATTTTCGTAACAAAAACATTGCAACTTCCTTTACACACTACTCTACGCTACTTTCCACTCGTATTATATTGCTTAGTTTGTATTGTAAATTTGTCTCCTTTTACCTTGTTTTAATGTACATAAATAAAAGCAAAATGCAAGCTAAGAAATATAGATGTTACATGTTAAAAAAAAACATTATTATTACTATTAATATATTGTAGTATTACTTAAAGGAAAAAAATAGAAATTCATGGTTAAATAAACATACACACAAACACAAATATTTACAAATTTTTCGCAAGTATTATTTCTACATATGTATATGTAAGCAC